TACCCGCCTTTACTATATCGGAATTTTCTGGTTTTCTATTCATTTTCAGGGAAAAATGGAACTGAAATTTACAGGTCTCTTTGATTTTTCCACGAAACTCTGAATTTTCAATAACGAAATTCCTTGAAATTTCAGTAGTAATTCAATTCGATAAAAATTTTCAAAAAGTGAACCGGAAATTTCAGACAAAAATTTTTAACAGTGCAAGAGGCAATTGCTAAATCATTCAAAAAAGTTGTTCCAAAAATTGTTCTAAATTTTTTTCGATATTTCAGCAGATATTTTTCCTAATCAGTAAACAGAATAAGATTGTTTACCGGTTATATTGGACATTCTTTGAATCCCAAAAGGTCCTTTGCTAATGTAGCCCAGTAGTAATCCGCTCCTGTCCCTAAATCACTGCAGAGGTCAGCGCCACCCACACTTGCAGGATCCCACCAGCTCTCTCCTGATGTTGTATTCATATCGTTGTACTCTGTATGTCATCTATCGTGCAAAACACCAATAAAAGAAATTTAAAATTAATTGAACATTGTTGAAAAATTGCTCGTGAAATTTCAAGTGAAAAAGCTTGAAATTTTTAACAACGACAACGTAACATGAAATTTCTGTATATTTCTTGATTGACGAATAAGTTAATTTCTTGAATATTCAAGTAATTCTCTATTTTCAGGTCCATGCGGCACTGAAAAACCTTGAAAATTTTGAAAATTCAAGCAACAACTTTTCTGAATTCTCAATCTATTGAAAATTCCATTGCATGTGATGTTCAATTTTCACGATGAGTTCGAAAATTCAAGAATTCAATTCAAAAATCAATGATTGTTTAACATGAAAAACCCAATTTTTTGGAATTTATAATTTGAATTCAATCTCACAATTTCGAAAATTCAGATGATGCTGTGACTGAAATTTCAAGAAAGTTCTCCACAGTAAAAACGAATGTCTGAATTCCACACACCTTTTGTAGCCATTTTTCAGGTACTAAAAAACGTCTGAATAAAATGAAAATTTGTCTGAATTTTAGACGAGCAAGTGCCTGAGCATCTGAATTCATATTTGAAATTCGAACAAATTTTCATTTCATTCAGACGTTTATTAGTGTCTGAAAAATGTCTACAAAAGATGTGTGAAATTCAGACATGCGTTTTTGCTGTGTAACAGTGAATGTCGCTAAAAACATGGATTGATCGAACGACGCGGAGGCAAGTATATGAATGAGACAAAAGGCATTAGACAAATGTTACCAACCACTGTAGGCCCGTCGATACCCTGTTGCCATTCGACATATCGGTACCAATTTTTTCGGCTGATGCCTATTACCAGAAGATTTTTCGGAATCACGAGGGATTCATTTGTTTCCGTCTGCGTGACTGTTATACATGGGTCGCCGTTTCCTGCCTGGAACAGAATGCATTATATTTATTCATTTGCTCGCCTAGGACTGCATGGAGAGAATTAAATAGTAAAAAATTGCAGGCGGCTATATCCTCGATACAGCTGTAATTGTACGTGGATACGTCCATGGTTTTTTCTGCCTTCTTTTGGAAAAAAGAAACCTCTGTAGCTCAAAAATTAGAGGCCCTGGACTATTTTTGTGCTGAAGAAATATTGTCAGTATATTGTAGAATACGCGGGTTTAAAATAAATGATAGTTTATTGTAATTAAACGAGGCGAAGAAAAATATAACAGGAAGTGTAAAAAACGGAAAGAAAAAGAATAATGAATAACAAAAGAGTGACGCTAAGTTCAGAGGAGAGATTCGAAAGAAAGAAAAGAATAAATAAATCACAGAACGCAATTGAGAAGTTGAAGATTCGTTACAATATCTACACGGAGAGAATTTTTGATAAAAATTACCCTGTCGTTCTATAAAAGTGTATCATGAGTCATCGTTTCTTCATTTCTATCCCGAAATTTAGTAAAAATTAATATATGATGATCAAATTTTATTCTACGTTAGAGAAATTTTATCCTGATAGAAATAAAAATCACCGTGCCGGTAGAGTAAAATTTACCAAACGTTCTAGAATTTTCGTTGTTATTTATATAAAAATTACTGGACTGGAAGGGTAATAGTACATTATGTCATGAGGGCGATAAGCGGCGGTTTGTGAGGAGTGTGGAGTTGCAGCAAGAGGCGTGGCAAGCAGGAGACGAGGATCGCCGAAGGCGATCCGAGTCGGACGCTTGCCATGCCGAGTGTTGCAAACTCCACACGACTCACAAACCAACGCTATCGCCCGAATGGCATATACTATTTTTCGTCACGAAGGCCCGACGCGGGTGTGGGCGCGGGAGGGGGTCCAGGGGGACGAAGTCCCCCTGGTGGGGGGGGTTGGGGGGGGGCGAAGCCCCCCCCCACTGAAGAAAAAAATAAAAGCAATAGAAAAAAATAAATCGAAATAAAATCAATATCAGTTGATGCGAAAATAAATAACTAGTAAAGTCCGCCAAAATATCCAAAAACAGTAGGTTGATGACGGTAATTTTGGACCTGTGAAAAGAAAATTGCATAAAAAATAGAAAATAAGAACAGATATCAAAGATAAAAGAAGATACTCAGCTGTTCAATTTTTCTTCTTTTATTAAGAACAGAAGTCGACGTTATAAATACTGATATTTTAGAAATTGTTGTTTTTTGAACAAAAATATCAACTTTAAATTGAACAAAAACTCGGAGAGTGACTTTTTTCTAATGATAAATCTTCTCAATGACACACAACAACATGGCTACCACTAGTGGGTTAAGTTGTAGAGAAGGCCGCTAGAGGCGCTGTACAGCTCATCCGACTATACGTTTACCCGAACGCAGAGCGCATGCCCAAGTGGGGGGAACGTCAGGGCACATGGTGACGCCCACTTTATCGCTCCTAGGATGGGTAAGTGAGATTTACCCTCCTTGGAGCACCGAGCGTCTCATTTACCCTCCTTGGAGCACCGATTATTCAAGTGCCGCGGTAAACTCTCTTTACCCCCTCTCGACAGAGCCCGAGTAAGCGCCGTTTATCGGGCCGAGTGACGAAAAATTTATTATGCGTCAGGATAAAATTTCACTTACGTAGAATAAAATTTGATCATCATATATTAGTTTTACTAAATTTCGGGATAGAAATGAAGAAACGATGATTCATGATACACTTTTATAGAACAGTAGGGTAATTTTTAACAAAAATTTCTCTCCGTGTATCTTAGATACGTCTAAGGTCTCACCTGGACGTTTGCCCAGAGACAGATGGTCAGCAGAACCACAAGAACCGCGCACTTCATGTTTCAGTAAAATTATCAGAACTGTCAGTTTTTCACACGATGACACCAGTATTTATACCATAAAAAAGCCATTGACGTTTTTGGGAGTGTAAATCCATGTCATTGATAATTTCTGCTCTAATGCACTGGATAAGGTGATGAGTCATTTAGTTTCCGACGGAACGTGTCGGAATTCACGTTCACATGTCTCGAAAGTTGTACAACCTGCACGTTTCTGTTTAAATGTTAAATGCGCAGATGGGAAATTATTTTTGTCACTCAAATATGCCGGCTGTACTCCCAATAACACTCCGTTGATAGCGCAAAGGTCTCGAACGCCGTTGGCCGCGCCATACCCGAGGGGATACTCACTTCCGAAATCGCGGCGCCACTCTGGCATGAAATCATTTTAAAATCACGTGAAATCACCGAAATCGCTTAAATCAAGTGAAATCAATAAAATCACCGAAATCAGTGGCGCACTGGCGTAGTAATGGAGCGGCTGCCTGTACCGCCCAGCGGGTAATATACCGCCCGCCCGTATTTTTCAGGATTGACTGACAAAAAAAATTGTTTCTTTTTTTATGATGTAAATATTTGATAACAACAAGTAAATTCAATAGAAATTTTCAATTTTCTACCGTGGAAACATCATTAAAAAAATCCAAATCATTTCCTACCGAATTCTTAAAATATTTCGCTCCCAGAATTTAAGATTTTTCAAATTTCCAGTTGGTCCATAATTGAATGGAGTGCGAAATATATGTTCGTTATACATTTCCACATCCATTGAGACCTTTTCGATAGCACACTGATAGAACGGATTAGTTATTGTTAACGAATGGATTTTGGTTAGAGGTTAGGGTCTATTCGGTCCTACTAAATGTTCATTCGTTAATAGTTAACGAATGTACATTTGAGGAGCCTTGTTTGACTTGACTTTCGCCATTCAAGTGAACCATTCGTTAACTATTAACGAATATTCATTTGGTCATATTCAACTCTACCATTCGTTAATAGTTAACGAATCTCGTTTGAAATAAATGAATCATTCTATCAGTGCATAAAAAAATCTTCATCAGTTATTATTGGCAATTTTATCAGCCTCCGCGTTTGTGGGTAATTCCGCCCAGAGTTTGCGGGTAATGCCTGGTAATGCCGCCCAGGTTTTCTATAGGGCTGCTAGACTCTGCAACTAGAGGGCGGTCGAGTGAAAGCTCGATTGTTTGGGGTGGTCGGTGTCCACTGGAACATCGGGTAAATTCAGGATAATTTATTAGTATTCACGTGGAATCTTTCTCAAAGTGGAGCCAAAGAATGGAAACGAAGGATGAAAATAGGAAAAATTATAACAGTTGGTCTGCATTGCTCAAAAAATTCATCAAAACAAGATGGGCGGTATTGGACGCATGCGCCTGACGGTATTACCCTTAAAGTTCGATTCCACCGCTCCCTGGCCGGTGGCAATTGAATTACATAATTAAATGTTTAATGTTAATAAAAAATCTGTCCTCTTCACATCTTCGAGTAAACACCTCGAAGAACCCATTCTAACCGTTTATGAATCCTTGTAGAGTGCGGGGCTGGAAAAAAAGACTCATTTTCCGTGGGTGGGCGGTACATGCAGTGCCTCCTCTAACAGAACTCCAAAAGAATTTTCAAGGGAAGCCCAAACGATAAGAGTGGTTTTGGGTTTGCTCGGGCGGATTTTATAGAAACTGCAAATTCATAGAATTATAGAAACTGCACATTTATTGTTTACAATTCATAGGTGGGAATCAGCTGATTTGAACACTGCCTTGTATTATATACTGCTATTTACATCCGTCCTTAAGTACTTTGGAATACAAGACTCTTTTACGTTAAAAAAAAATCGGGAGAATTTAGTGGTAGTATCCGTGACCGAGTCCATATCCTAGCCCGTAGCCGTGGCTGAGTCCGTAGCCATGACCATAGCCGTATCCTCCGTAGCCTCCGTAGCCTCCGTATCCTCCGTACAGTCCGTATCCTCCGTAGCCACTGAGACCGTAGCCTAAACCATGACCATAACCACCGCTGTATCCAACTTTGTAGGCAGCATAATTAGGGTAACCGTAATGGAATTTTGTTACTGATGGAGTAACTAGTGGAACTACTGCACTGTGCACTGATGGATAGGCAACCTAGGTGGTAATCAAATGTGTTAATTAATTGAGATAAACATAGATTAGCAATCAAGGAGGAAAACGTGACTCGACAGAACAAGAAATTTCTTCAAGAAATTTTATTGTTTTCTTTCTGTACTGAGGATTAACTTCACCGTGTTTTTTTTTTCAAGAGACATTTGGTAGAATAAAGTCAACAGATTATGATTTTTCCATAGAAGTGCTTGAGCATGAATTTTCTAAGTTCTCTCAACGATATTGTATTTATTTTTCATAATAAAAATCGAGGAAAAAAATAGGATGTTCATGCCCAAGATTTAGTATTGAAAAAATCTAAATAGAATGGGTTGTATGAAATCGATGTCTACAGACTATTCTGAACCTTTAAGTGAAAACCATGTTCTCCCTTCAAAAAAAGTCTTGTTTAGCCCTTAAGTGGTCGCATCGTCAGGGAATCCCCGCTAAATCATACGCAACCTACTGGGCGCCACTTAAGGGTTAAATTAGGCAGAAATATGTTTATTCCTCGACGGATTACCTTGTAGGTGTTGGCATAGCTGGTAGCGAGGGGAGCATGGTAAGACACTGTGGGTGCATAGCTCACTGTTGGAGCATATCCATGTCCCAGAGCGTAGCCACTGTATAACGGAGCAATAGCACCGGCGGAGGCGTAAGCCACGAGAGCGAAGAGCACCACCTGAAAATTGAAAGAAAAAGTAAAATTCTAAAACGAAGAGTCATAAATCTCATCCATTCCGATCATATACACACTGTTAACACTTTTCGACTGAAATTTCGGAAACATTTTCGGAATTGTTTGTCACACTAGAGTTGCACTGAAATTTTACGAAATTTTACCGTTGAATAAAACAAAATTTTACGGAAAGTTCAATGAAAACAGCGAGTTTAAGTTCAATTTTTCCATGAAAACCCATAGAAAAGAGGAAATATGTTATTGAATTGCCAACAAATTGAAAATTCAGCGTAATTTGTTACTTAATATTCATCTTTTCATTGAAAATCCCAGTCAGTTGTGCATTTCTTGCCTTCCTGTGTTCAAAAATTTAAAGGTTCATTGAATTTTAAGTAGAATCTTAAATTCCAGGATATTTTCCCGTAAATCGAACGTCACATTTCCGAAAATTACAAATCAACTGTCCATAAACCCTTGTTTTGCTTTGTTGTTCCATAAACAATGATTCCCCCAACGATGTAAACACTCTGCACTATTAGAAATTTTTTGCGAGTCAGATTGAATCTGATTTAGGGAAAAAACAGTTATAAACATTCAAATTTTAAGTAGAGTCCACAGAAATTCATGAGTTTTCAGTGGGAGTGAGATGGAAATTTCACAACTTTATTGAATTTTCAGTAGATCATGAATATTCAAAAACAAAACGACATAAACTTTCAATTTTTCCCTGAATTTCCCTGATTTTTATCAATTTTCAGAGAATAATTGAACTGAAAAATCAGGTATTTTATTGATTTTCAAATCATTTGAACAGAAAATCAATGGAATATATATTTCATTTTTCAATGATAAAAATTTCCGGAATTTGGGGCGGAAAAATGAGACAAAAATTTCCAACGGTGTGTTCTTATTCACTCCACATTATCAAGAGTTGACCACCAAATTACCCCCCACCCGAATACCCCCAAAGAACCCCCAAATATCCCAACCTGGGTACATCACCAATTCCCCCTCCCCATTCCCAGAAAAATGTCAAAACACCCATGAAAAATCATCAATTGAGAACTCACCAGTTTGAACATGTTGACAGATGTCTGAGATATCCAAGTAGTACCGTAGACTGACTAGTACATATCCCAGTGCAATCTTATATACCCCATCGTCTTCGAAGAAGCCAAAGAGAATGGGCAATAGGTGGTGGACGACAAACGAAGGCCTGGGGATTTGCAATAAAATAGAAAAGGAAAAATAATTTTTCCCCCCGCTGCATACCACGGGAATTTGGTTCCAAGTCATGTCTGACGGATCTCTCTGCATGTCGCATTGTCACGCATGAAGGGGAGGGGCAGGCGAGATGGTGTGCAAAATCAAACAGCAATAGTAAACGCGTTCACCTTATTATCCTCCCGTTGTTTAGTGCACCCAAGGATCGTTCGATGCTCGATGATCCAAGTCGGATACACGGAGGTGGGTCACGAAGGACAAACTCATTATTCCGTGAGTTATATATAAGAAAAAAATGTTTGTATAATATTGGCAATCCCTGGGAGAAAAAAAAGAAACTCCAGAGGTGCATTAAAAAAGGAGATTTGCCGGACA